CGAACCCGCGTCCCCTGCATCGGCAGGCGGACTCTCAACCACTGCGCCATGAGGGAAGCCCCCCTTAATCTTTTTGATCTAAGCTACACCTCTCTCTTTTTTTTTTTCAGTAACTCACCTTTAAGGAGTCTTTCCAAATCACTGGACTCTGTCTTCACAGAAACAACGGTTTCTATTTATTTTCACCCTCCTAGTTTATATTATAGTAAAGTACAAAGCTGCAGTAGCAAGTGCAGTGGGCAAAAAGCATTATTGGTAAACAGGATTAACCAGTGGGAGGGCAAGGAGTGTGTGGGTGTCCTGGAGAGGAGTATGCACCGTGGGCATCAGTCAGAATGTTTTCGGGGAGTGGAGAGCACTGGTTTATCCTGGAGAGTTAGTTCGGTGGAGGATGGTTAAAGAATTTTTACTGTAATTCAAACTTCTTTAAGAAAATTAGGAAGAAAAAGTACAAATTAAAAAGAAGGAAAAAGAATCACCCAATTCCATCATTCAAGTACAGCAATTAATAACATTTTGGTGGTTTTCCTTCCCATCTTTGCTTCTAGGTATAGCTGTAATTCCACTCTATTTTAAAAAATCTTCCTGACCAAGTATATAACATAACCCCATTAGCCTGACCCATCCTGTTCCACTGTCTTCATTATCTTTGCTCTGATGCACTCCCATGGTCCATCGTGGCTCCATTTAGGAAGCATTCTGGGCGCTCACCATTTAACCTTTCCTGGGATCTTACTCTGTTTACCTGCAGATTCAATATTTCCTGCAGAGACGGCCATCACTGAAGACCTTATTTGTGGACAGCTACAGTGAGATGCTTTTGTAAGTGATACTGACTCTTATGCCTCTGTAGCAGATAGCATCTTTTGGCCCTGAGACCTGGGGTTACAGCAATCAGCTCATTCTCACTCATTCTCTCACATCCGCTGGGCCTGGAACATAGGAGGGCTTCACAAACATGTTGAATGAATGATGGAAGGCACCCAATAAACGTTTGTTGGGTGAGGAATACTGAGGGTCCACTCTGTGCCAGGTATGTTCCAGGTGCTCGGGAATTTCTTTTAAATCTGGCACATCTGAAAATATTTCTACTATACCTCCACGTTTGATTGATAGTGAGGTTGGTTATAAAATTCTTTTAAAATTTTGAAGATATTTCTCCCTTTTTTCTTTGCTTTCAATTTTAAAGGCGGCAAGTCCAAAGCCATTCTGATTCTGAATCCTCTTTTAAGACCTGTTTTGGTTTTTCTCTTCGTAAACCTATAGTATCTTCTGTTTATTCCTAGTGTTTGGAAACTTGACGTTTCTTGATGCAGATTTGTTTTTATGCAATGTTCTGGGTACTTTCAATCTATAAATTTATGTCCTTTATTTTTTTGTATATTTTCTTGAATTATTTCTTGATCTCTCTTCTGGAACTCCTGTGTTTTGTATATTGAACCTCCTGACCTAGTCCTGAATTAGTTCTTACATTTTTTCACTTGTGTTCTCTTTATTTTTGGCTCTTCTTTCTGGGAGGTTCAAATCAATTTTAATTTCCAGCCTTTCTATTGAGTTTATTATTTTTGATATCATGTTTTTAATTCGTAAGTGCTCTTTTAAAAAAATTCTATTTGTTCCCCCCCCCTTTTTTTTTTAAATACGTTTATTTATTTATTTATTTTTGGCTGCGTTGGGTCTTTGTTTCTGCACGTGGGCTTTCTCTAGTTGTGGCGAGCCGGAGTTTCTCTTTGTGGCAGTGCGCGGGCTTCTCATTGCGGTTGCTTCTCTTGTTGCGGAGCGCAGGCTCTAGGCGTGCAGGCTTCAACAGTTGTGACTCACAGGCTCCAGAGCGCAGGCTCAGTAGTTGTGGTGCACGGGCCTAGTTGCTCTGCGGCATGTGGGATCCTCCTGGACCAGGGCTTGAACCTGTGTCCCCTGCACTGGCAGGTGGATTCTTAACCACTGCACCACCAGGGAAGCTCCTGTTTGTTCCCTTTTATAACACTTTATTCTTGTTTCATGGATGCAATACCTTCTTTTGTCTCTCTATGACTATTAAGGTGGTTTTTGGTAATTTTTTTCTTTTTGCATAGCTTTTGTTTTCTCCAAATTGTTGATTCCCATTTGCTTGTTTTGTTCTCTCTTTCACGTAGAGGCCATTCTCAGAATATTTGGAAATCTTTGATGTCTGCTCATGATTAAGAGTGGAGGACTGAAAAGCTGGTTGGAAGCTCTTAATGTGCGAATGGGGCTTATCAATTTTTAGCTGCGTCATAGTCTGGTCTAGATAAACAATTTGTTGGAGAATCGTCCAAGGTCAATCTGTTGCATCTTTTCAATCTTCTATCCGGAGGGAAGGAGTCTAGCGCCAGCCTCCTGAGAGCTGAGTGAGAAGAGGGCTTTACATAATGTCTTGTATAGAAATCAATCACATAATCTCCTGTTTGGGGTAAAATACCAATGCTTTCATGGGTGTCTGATGAAACCGGGTCCAAAGACCCTCTGTTTTATCTTCTTCAGAGACAGCACCTCCACTCTTACGTCAGGTCTCTTCACCTCCCCTCCAAAGGTGCCTAAGCCTTTTGAGTTTCCTTGATTAAACGAGTTGGTTCTCAGATTTCCGCACTATGGATTTGGATTTGGCTTTCTTGGGTCTGCTAGGTCAGTTTCCATTTGTTCACTAATTCCCAGCTTCCAGAATTCCTAGGTGGGGACTCCATTTGCCTTTGTCAGCTGGCGTCAGTTCTTGTTTTGGCCAAGGGTCTGCAGATGCCGAGGAATAGATTTTCTTTGCAGCAGAACTCCAATTAACGAGCCAGTTTAGGGACACTAGTTTTCAGTACACTCACATCAGCACAGTGGTGACTTTTTGCTGGGTTCTCACATACAAATGGGAGGTTGGGTGGTCAGTGCAGGCTTCTGTGTTAATGCAGCTGTTGGGCGGGCACTTCCGGGAGGAGGCCGTGATGAACAAGGAGACCTGGGACGAATAAGTAAAGAAGGGACCACTGAGCAGACCCTGTCACAGGATCGTCGTAGGATAATGATCATAGGATCGTCCAGACGTCCTCCAGCCTGTCCAGGGCTCCGACTAGGGCAGCCCTCACCAGACTAAAGAAAGGACATCTTCCCTGGCTCCTCACCTGAGTTTGAGGGTGTGACCAGCAGACTCTACCTGTGGTTCTCTCAGGAGAGCACAGCCTAGACCTCCTCAGAGGCCTAGGCCTCCTAGGTTCTCTGTTGTCCGTGAGGTTATTGTTCCCAGGGACTGGGCAGGGAGGCTACTGGGGCTACGGCCCTGTTTCTCAGCCTTTTTTCATTATTGCCTTTTTAGACATTTTTATTCCTAATTGCCCCTCCCATGAACTCTCCTACTGCAAATATACTATATATGCGTTTATGTACTGTATTTTTATCTGTGTTTTGTGTGTAAAAAGGATAAGATTTTGCACATGCAACACCCCTCCCCACACCCCCCGAACCGAGTTTTGCCTCTTGGGAGCGATACTCCTCCCCCTGAGACTCATGGGCTAAAGGAGGGAGGACAGCCATCCCCAGCTCATCCGTGGCCTGGGGCTGTGCCTCTGAGGAGAGGTCCAGGCATCTGGGGTCTTGTCTGTGAGGGTGCAGGCCCCCCGGTGCCCATGGACAGGGCTTGCTGTCCCTCCCCCATCAGCTTCGTGCAGTCGCTGTTCATGCTGGGGACCGTCGTGCTATACTTCTGCCACTGCAAGGAGTACGTGGCCTCCATGGTTTTCTCCCTGGCCATGGGCTGGACCAACATGCTCTACTACACCCGCGGCTTCCAGCAGATGGGCATCTATGCTGTCATGATTGAGAAGGTGGGTGCCGGTGCCGGAGCGGTTCTCCGCGGAGCCCGTTTACCTCCTGAGTGTGTGGGACCCGGTCCCACACACTCCATCCACCCTCTGTGCGCTGTCTGGGGAGGTGCTGCTTTAGGACCCACTTTTGCAGAGAATTCCCCGACAATGAGGCAATCTGGCCTTGACCCAGGTTTGGGGGGCTCCCCTGAAACTTGACCTGCCACATGCCAGGCCCCCCTCTCCCACCAGAAAAAGGCCCATGGGCGGGGGCGGGGGGGAGCTGTGATGACTCCCTCATGACACCTGAGCTGAAAACCACCAAACCAAACCTACCTGTCTGTCCTCTGATTCCACTTGGGCTCAAGATGAACCCCCAGGCCGGCACAGTCCTGGCCCTTCCCTCGGCCCCTCCCGGGCCTTGATTTGCTTCTGACAAGCCTGCTCTCTCCCACAGATGATCCTGAGAGACCTGTGTCGCTTCCTGTTTGTTTACCTAGTTTTCTTATTTGGGTTTTCCACAGGTAACAGGCTTGGTCAGGGCTGGTGGGGGGCAGGGGGTCCCGCTGACCTCAGCTTCCTGAGGACCCTGCAGGGCTGGGTGGGAAGAGGCCCACCGGGGTGTGTGTCTGCAGGTGACAGAGCAGATGGACAGCGAATACACTGAAATAGTAGGAGAACTTAGAAATTGATTCATAAAAGATTTTAAGTCATTTTAGAGGTATGAAGTGCGGCTTACCTATAGTATAGCTGCATTTTGGCTCAATTAAACTTTTTAAAAATTTTGATGTTATTTCAGAAAAGCCACAAGAATCGTACAAATAACTTCTCTATAGTCTTTACCCAGATTCCCCCAATTTTACCACATTGAAAAAATCACTTCCTCTCCCAGCTACACACACACACACACACACACACACACACTACACCATACTTAAAAGAACAGAGTGAGTTGCAGACATGATCAGTCCTTTACCGCTAAATACTTCCGTGTGTATTTCCTAAAAACAAGAACATTCTCTTACATAAACCCAGCATAATGATCAAAATCAGGAAATCAATATCAATACAGGACTATTAGCTAATTTCCAGCCTTATTCAAATTTCACCAATTGTCCTAAAAATATCTTTTACAGAAATGAAAATCCCAGATCACACATTACATTCACTTGTCAAGTCTGTTTAGTCTCCTTCAGTTAGGAGCAGTTCCTCAATCTTTCCTTCTCTTTTGTGATCTTAGCATTTTTATTGAGTAAAGGCCAGTTTTTACAATGTCTCTCAGTTTGGGTCTGTCTGATGTTTCCTCACAATTAGATTTCGGTATACATGTTTGGTCAGGAGTCCCGTGATGTCGGTCTGTCCCATTTCTGGTGATAACTTTGTGGTTCTTTTTTTAGAATTGTAGTATACTTGATTTACAATATTGTGTTCGTTTCAGGTGTGTAGCAGAGTGATTCAGTTACACACATATATGTATGTTTTTTCAGTTTATTTTCCATTATAGTTTATTACAAAATATTGAATATAGTTCCCTATGCTACACAGTATATCCTCGTTGCTTATCTATTTTATGTATAGCAGTTTGTATTTATTAATCCCATACTCCTAATTTATCCCTCCCCTCTTCCCTTTCCCCTTTGATAATGGTAAGTTTTGTTTTCTGTCTGTGAGTCTGTTTCTGTTTTGCTTATAGACTCATTAATATTATTTTTTAGATTACACATATTAGTGGTATCCTATACTATTTGTCTTTCTCTGTCTGACTTACTTCACTTAGTATGATATTCTCTAGGTACATCCATGTTGCTGAAAATGGCAATATTTCATTCTTTTTTATGGCTGAGTAATATTCCATTGTATATATATATATATATATATATATACCACATCTCTTCTTTATATTCATCTGTCAATGGGCACTTAGGTTGCTTCCACGTCTTGGTTATTGTACATAGTGATGCTGTGAACATTGGAGTACATGTATCTTTTTGAGTTAGAACTTTTGTTTTTTCCAGATATACGCCCAGGAGTAGGATTCCTGGATCATATGGTAGCTCTATTTTTAGTTTTTTAAGGAAACTCGATACTGTTTTCCATAGTAGCTGCACCAATTTACATTCCCTCTGGTGATGTTAACTTTGGTTACTTGGTTTTGGTAGGTCTACCAGATTTATCCACTGTCAAGTTATTATCTTTCCCTTTGTAATTGATAAGTAATTTGTGAGGTGATGCTTTGTAAATATCCTGTTTTTCATCAAACTTTCACCCAGTGGTTTTAGCATCCACTGATGGTTCCCACCTGAATCACCTGATCCTGTGATTGTTGCCAAATGATAATTTTCTAATTTATTCTTTCTACGTTTGTTAGCTGGCATTCTATTGTCTGGAAGAGCTTTCCCTA